GGGAGATGCACCACAAGCTTTCGGTTTTTCGACAGCGTCAGTGAGTCAGAGTTTGTCTAAATCTGATGAACTGTCTCAACGACTGCAACGGGCTGAGGCACTGTCCAGAACTTGTTTGGGATCGACGCCAGAAGTTTCCGTTCGTCAGGGATTGAGGAGGTCTGATGCAACCAGACTGTCCAAACTGTCTCTACGCTCAGAGTGAGTCCCAAAACTACGATTCAGTTTCTTTACCAAACCATCTGTTTGCAGAAACTTGAAGAATTAAACAGTGGAACAGTTGCCAGAATACTGGTTTTAAAGTAGATTAAATCGGCTACATGTTTAATGGGCTAAAAGTTGGTGGTGTGGTGGGAGGGAAAGAACGTTTCTGTTTCTGGACGGGTTTGTTTTGAAATAAAAGTTCACTCGGGGTTTCCTGCTGTTGTTTCAGGAGAGGATCGGGAACGCCACAACCTCTCAAATGGGAACGGATCTTCCAGCTGCAGCATCCGGTAAGATATTTTAAGCAGTGATTCTGAACACCAACAAAACCTAGCTGTAGCTGAAAACTGAAGCGATGGCCGCATGTCGACAAGGAGCGAAGCAGCCCTATTTTTGACTTTTTCTGTGCCTGTGAAAGGTGTGCAGACTTCGCCCAACGTCCACACCAAAGGGGCTTATTCTCTAAGCCTCAGAGGGCCGCCGTCACGCCGGAGTGATATAATCATACGACATTTTAGAGACGTCACGACAGAAAAACTAGCGCGCGTACGGTGATGCCACAACTTCACTCCAAAGTGCAGACTTTAAACTCTCCCAGTTTGTGTTTCATGTCGATAGACCACGTAAAACCGGAGATGTGATGTCATGAAGGTGTAGAAAATATGAAATACGTGCTGCAGGCGTCGCATTTCTTTCAGCATCTCCGTCATTTTTTGTAGTTTTACAAAACGAAAGTGAAAGAAAGTCCTTGGAAGTGCAGCTCCTGATGTGGCCGTCTGCCTCATTCTGGACACAAACTATTGTCAGGAGCGGCTTCGATGAAAACACAAAGAGGCGCTGACCCAGCTTCATTCAAAGTCCGTTAACCAGCCACGTATGTGTTTGGGCCACAAATCTGCTTTTGTCTAACGAACCAAGAAATTAGGCAAATTATATCAAACTGTTGTGATTGTTGTGTGTGTTTGTCAGAGTTCCTGATGATCCCATGATGACGACGGTATCTTTCTGTGTTGCAGGAGGGCTACTGGGAGTTGACCACAGAACTGGGTCAACATCTTGATTTCATGGTGGTCATCTTTGTCGAGTTCTTGAAACACAAAGGCATTAATTCTCTTGGTGAGAACGCTCAGAAACCGTTTCAGAGTCTCTGAGGGGCACCAGCTTTTCAGATTAAACAGATGAAGTCACATCACTCTGTTCTGCTCTTCAGGGTGAATGCTGCTGTCTACGGTTTCTGCTGCGTCATGGTTTCTCTTTATGTGTTCACTTCTGTTTTTGAATTTTTTTCACATAATTAAGAGGAGGTCAGACTTAACACGCCGCTACACAGGCTTCAAAAACTGTCAGCTCTCCTCGTCGGGCTGTAATCGAATATTAATCACAATTTTAATTTCCCACAGTTTAATGAAAACATGATTGATGCGTGATGTTGACATCTAAAATGCTCCAGACATAGAAAACAGCCATGTGTGGATATCGTCACCTGATTTCTTTGGTAAATCTGACAGTAAAACAACTTATTTTAATGTTGTTGTTTTTTTTGCTTTTTAATTTGCTGCTGCAGTAACTGATGGAGACCAGAAGCTTCTCTGTGCACAGCTGACTAGCTAACATCTACATCTACTAGACATCTACTGCAGCCTGCATGTGAGGCGTTCAGGGAGCATCAGTAAATCGCGTCGTCAGTCAACTAACATTCAGTTTATTTATGTTTTGTCACAGATTAAGGTTTTTTAAAGTCTTATTTCGATGCAGATTTGTACATTCGAACAAAAATAAGAATAATTTAGAGCTGAAGTCGAAGAATAATAAATAATCCCCAGTACTGATTATGATTTTAATAGTAAACTATAAAATGAGCAGGATGTCACTTTGTTTTCCAGTAACAAAGCTGCCATTTGCCCTAAAAATTGCTCCTACAAATATGAAGCTACAAGTCGTTTGTCCAGGTTTTTCAGAGCTCCACCACCAACACCTCCACCGTCTCTCATGTACAGAAACTGTTCACGCCGAGGTCCCTTCTGTCTCCTGATTAACTCGGATCTTTGCCGTTTTCTCTGTGCGTTGCAGGCGTGAAGGCTCGCGCAGACATCCTGAAGCTGCTGGCGACTCTCCTGGTTCTGCAGCAGATGAGGCTGGAGAAGTATGAGGAAGGCAAACTGCTGCGAACCCTGTTTTCTCTGGAGGAACCCTCCGAGCCGAGGTCTGCTCACCGACACCGCGACACTTCGTCGTTGTAAAAACACAGCAGATGAGCAGCCAGAACATGTTCACCTGCATTCAGGAGATTCTGGTTCGACTCTCGTAGCAACAAAGAAAATCAATTCAATCAAAAACAGTCTCATTTAAGAAATAAATCAGTGTTTCTACATCTCTTGACCTACTCAGGGTGTCAGTCTTATTAGTGTTAGTGCAGCATGTTCTACTTATCTTCAACTGT